TCCCCTCCAACCTCCAGCCACTGGAAAGGTACCGTCTTGCATAATTTTTTTTACTCTGACTCCACTATTTCACTGAATTATAGGGTCTGACCTGGAGATAATGCTTCTCTTTAGATCTTAATGTCCACAAATCAAGACAGAAAGAACATTTTAGTACCAAGATTGATCTTGACCAGCCAATAGCCCATCAAGGAAAGTGAGGAATTTTTAAATGGCTACTACTGTATAGTGGAATTCATAGTGAACTCAGTTAACTGACCGTTTAGACAGATGATCACTACTTTTCACTCTCTGTTGGTCACATGACTCGGCCTGCGCCATCTTTATTTGTCACCGCTGTTGGGTAGCAACAGCGTATTGGCACAGCGTGACACCAAATCCCATAATGCTTTGCAAGGAGGGCTTTCCTTGCAAAGCATTCCGGGATATTTCAGCTTGTCTGGTGACCGTGGATGTTTACTACTTTTCAAGGTGCATTGTGGGAAATTTCGATTCCACTAGTTTTTCATCCACTGACATTCAGACGCTCATCTAAAATGGTATGACCACAATATAGTGCCTTATATAGTGGTTCGGGTGGACATTCTGACACAGCCATAGTGCCTTGCCTATATACAGTACTCATCCCCCTTTGAAGCAATCTCAGCCTTACCTCAGATTCTTTATTAGATTTTACTGAGCTGTTACTGGACTCATCACACTCTTTAAATAACACTTCATAATCTATATGTATTAAGTAACCGTGAGTAATGACAACAGATTTTGACAGAAGTAGGAATTTTATTTGGACCAGAGAAGCTGGTCACAGAAGGCAGCTGCTTAGCAATCAGGCTCACATCTCATGAAGTGGCCACGACTCACCTTCAGAGAATCCTTTTTTTTAAAACTCCAGTATGCCAGATCCTCACATCATTACACCATACATGTTTTTAATGAGGAGACATCCATGGCTCCAGCCTTATCAAAATATTACACTATGTTCTTAGATCAAGGACACTATTATCATTCCATTCCCACACTTTGCCTCCTACATAATGAAGATGTCTTTTTATCCTGACAGAGGAACTGTCCAAATTAGACAAACTACTTAGGAAAACATTAGTTCTGACCCACAACAGGCAGGTATTATTAGGGTTTAACAGACTCATACATCATCAAATAGTTTAATTCTACACTATTACTTTCTGGCACTGGAATCCTCTTCAGGGTTGACTTTTTTTAGCCTAAAGACAAACCCCTACCCCTTCCACAAGTTTGTTAAAGCCTCAAAATGACTTTTTTTTCTTTGAGGGACATCCCTGTATTTACTGTAGCTACACCCATCTTACCACTGAGGGGTTTCCCTGTTCCTGCTCCACAGCATAACAGGGCAAATACCATATTTCCCCATGGGGGGTGGTGTGTTCATGGTGTTGTGCAGAGTTAGTGTATGACTGAACATGGTGCTTTGCTTGCAGGGCAAACGTTTCATACACAGAGGTGAATACAGAGATTGTGACTCACTGAAAAGGTTGAGGTATCCAGAATCCTTTTTTTTTTAACTACACCACCGCTTCTCTAATTCAGTATACAGGATACAGAATATATATTCCCTTTGAGAAATTGACTCAGAGGTCAAACTCTACATGTTCTGCAAGTCAAATCTACAAGCAGAACAAGTATAGACTAAAAATACCTTTGAAAAAAAGATTTTGTGAAGCTTACATAGAAGATAAAGAAAAAAAGAACATCAAATTTTCAACAAGTTATCAAACATCCTGTGCTCTGAGGCAGGGGGCTGATGCAAGCTCAGAGGCTTCCTATCAGATCTATCCAAGAGATGGAAATATTTTTTCTATCTTATTGCTCTCACAGGTAGCTGTGCCACAGCAAATAAAATGTCCACAGCATGGACTGAAGAGGATTCATGACACACAAAAAGTGAGAGAAAAGTCAAGTATCAAACATTTGTCCTCATAAATCACCAGAGCACTGCAGAGGCCAGTGAGACAAAATCCAATTCAGATTTTAGAAAGTGCTTATCATAGCTTGCATATTACAAATATAGTGCTTTTAATGTTTTTTTTTTTGTTATTGATTAAATCAATGTTTTCCATATAATGTGTCTGTTACTTGAGTCTATACAACTCTGATCAGGACACCCTAAAATAACAATAATGATATATAGATATTAGGCTTAAAAATGACATACTTGTTTGAAAATGCAAGATCAATATAAATAACTACAGGTTAAGGTAAAAAAAAAAGAATATCTTCTATGGTATGTTTTGTTTGCCAATTGGTGCCCCTAACAAAGCAGCTACTGAACAAGATAATTCTATGAGTTCTTTCCTGGAATTGGATTAGGGAAATTAAGACTGAAACACCTCGCTGTCTAACTCACAATGTGTAATACGATCTGCTAACTGGTCATCTTCTTTCTGATTTGCATGTAGAATGTAGTGTCAAAGTAAAACATATAAACCGATTAGAAGAAGGACTTGAGTGTCTTGCTTTAATAGGAGAAAAATACCAAATTGAGGAAAAAACAATTAATCTATATCTAAGATCCTCAAAAACAAACAAAAATATTTTTTTTCCAAAATGTATTTTTATGTGTTTGCAGCTTTAATGAAAAAAACTGAAGGTTTTAAAACTAAGCTGCTTTCTAAACAACATAATAAATTGTCATTTCAGGTCAGATTGCGAAACTGTAGCCTACATTTTTCCCGTTACAGCAAAGGCCAGTTTAAGAATATTGTAAGATTAGAAAATAATGCAAAATGATCAATATTTCAAGATATTACAGTAAAAATAAAAAGCTTTAATCCAAAGATTGGAGCCAGAGTGGTGTAGGTTGCAGGAGTTCAACCCGGAAATGGCAGGGTTGCCAGTTCAAAGCTCCTTCTGTCTCAGTTGTTGTGTTCTCTGGCAAGAAATTTCCCCTGCATTACCCACTGATAAAGGTTGGAGGGCCCGGTGGTTCCTGTCACTGTGCCCCCTCGGCAGCTGTGGCTGCATTGTAGCTTGACACCATCAGTGTGTGAATGGGCGAATGACTGAATGTAGCATAAAGCACTTTTGCGTCTCCTGACTTAAAAAAGATGCTCAATAAATAAAAGCCATTTGTTCAAAATAAATGGAAAAATTACTTATTACTAAAATAATTCAGTTGATATTAGTATTTCAGCAATCATTCAATTAATGTTATTATATTTATTATTTCAGCTAACACCATCTACTCACCATTTGATCAGAAAAACAGTCAAAAAAAGTGAAAGTTAAAAACAAAACAATGTAAAAGTACCTAAATTAAGCTAATTAAGCTATTTTATATAGAACATTAAAAAACAAAAACTTTTCTTTAGAGACACACCTACAAATGCACTTACGGTGAAAAGTGACCTCTTAATAAAGTTCTGCTCTCTTAGTTTTGGATGGACAAGTAGCAAAAAAAAACTCTGAAAAACAATATTTTACTGGTGAATAAAAACTCCAAACCAAAGCTCTTTCAGAAAAAGATGAAAATATAATTTCTTTTTATTTTTATTGTGTTAAACTTATAGCAGGTGCTATAATTTCTCTCATACAGCACCACTGTCTTCAGCCTTTGCATAATGACTGCTCGTGCCATGAATAGGAGAAAAAATGTATATGTTTTTGCATAGCTTTAAAAAACAATAAAAATTATTTTAAAAAAAACAGGTATAATAACTTAAAGCTGTGTAAAACCAAAGAACTGAAATCAACCATGAAGCTCTGATTGCTATACAGTAGCTCTAGTAGTTTCAATTATTAGACTCACTGGTGGCCTAACACACATATGTTTGCAGATTGTGTAGCAGTGTCATTTGAGTGGAGTGTGCTGTTTATTGTAACACTATTGAGTTGCTCAAGTTTTAAGCAAACTGTGTTCAGAACTTTCTTTTTTCCATTATAGTTTAGTTCTTTTTTTGTAACCATTTTTTCATTAAATTCAGTTAGTCTAGTTTTTAGTTTTGATCAGTTAATTTCAACGCACAAAATTCAAAAAGGTATGGAAAAAGAGTATGAAAAAATACGGCATTTATGAAGTTGTACATATAGACACAAAAATATTTTCAAAAACTGGCTCAATTAAAGCTGACTTTAAATGAGTCCTGAGGAAAAAAAAGCCCAGCAAAAATAAGATTTCGCATCAGTATGCAGGGCTTATAAAAAACATGGATAATCATTCAAATACAATTTTTAAATGTTGTATAAACACACAGTACTGTCTTGGTTACAGTATGCTCAGTTTTTCCCTTTTAATTACAGTTCTCATTAACTTCAGTTAACCAAGATTTTTATTGCATCTTGGCTGCTGTTTTTTTGTTGGTTTCAGTAAAGTATAACAACCCTGGTCCAGACACTGCTGCTTTCTAACCTCATATGCATAACTTAAAGCTCATAAGAAATAGAAAATGTTAAGAAAAATAACAAGACATTCATTAGCCAAATGGAGAATGCTCTATCCTTGCATTTTTTTTAAAAATCTGCTTTTAGCACAGTCATATTATAATCAAACTAAAACAACATGCGAGTCTTTGCATTTACAGGAATTTCTTCGCTGATCAAAGATTCATAGAAAAAGAAGATTGAAGACATCTCTTGAATGAACTTGTTAAAAAAGAAGTAATGGCGGGGTTTTTTGCCTTAAAAATCGACTGCTACTTGAAGGCATGATGTAGATGTTAACTGTATACCTTTAAATGATCTTAGCCTGAAAATGATTGTCTCATTGTCATTACATCTTCCAGAAACAAATCTCAAACATAAAGAAGACCAAAAAAGAGAGGTCTGCTTTCTCTACCAAAAGGCTGATGGTGAAAATGCATTTTCCATGTTTGCAAGAACCTTTTAAGCTTGGATGGCTTGAGAGGAATAGGCACAAAAACCACTGGGAAATCGCTTAGTAAAAGTAAAAATATAGTCATAACTATCACCTACACAAAGACAATTTTCCATATCAACCAACCCTTAAAATAAAGAGGTTAACTTACCATCCTCTGTCGGCACATAGATGTTGAGGTAGAGGCAGTCCTCACTCTGGTTCTGTATGTATCCCGCTGCCACGTCCAGGTTATCCGTGAACCAAACTGGAAGCATTATCTCTGGTAGCACCCCGTGGACATTCTGAGGACAAACTGGAGCAAATTGGGTGGCGTTGCGGATCTCCTGCCAGGATCCTGGGGCTTCTGGAGGCTGAAACCTCCTGTCTCCAATGGGCGCCGTGGCGTAGGGCACTCCAAGGTACTGCTCCACAGGGCCTAAAATCTCATTGTTCAAGTCCTTCTTGACACCTCTGAGTTTGCCATAGTTGGTGCTGACTATGGGGTGCTTAGAGGGATCCATTCTCTGGCATGAGGCCAGACTGAAGAAAAAGATCAGGCCCAGCACAGACATCAGGCAGCAGTCCGTCATGAATCTAAAGGGCCTTGTACTGCATAACAAAGCCTGTCGACTCTTTCTATCTAGAGATAGTGGAAGGTTATACATGGCTGGAGTCAAAGTGCTCAGCCACTTGCTTCTAGTCTGTTCTGTCAGTTCAGACCAGTAGTGAGGAGGGTAAACCATCACAAGATATAACACCAAAATCAGGTGAAGTCTTCAATAGACACCTGGTAGAAGGTACGAAGGGAAAAAAAGGGGTGATGGGGGGAGAGGGCTGATCCTTGGTATGAGATCCAGGTTAGTGGTAATTCTGATTAGAGGCAATCCAAAATACTTCTTCAGGCATGGTTCTGTTCCGTTCCATGCCTGTCCGTCTCACGTTGCCTGAATAATTGGATTGATGAATGATCCTGCAGAATGAGACAAACAGAAGAAAACAGAGTTTAGAGGAGAAATGTGATGAAGACAGATTAGAATGAAAAACAGAGGGTTTAAGACACTGCTAAAATTAAATATTATCTGTGTTTTTTCCTTTTCACTGTTGCCAAACTGAGCAAACAAGCTATAAAATTAGAGGACTTCCCTAGTCAGAGAAGGCATTAAGTAGATAAAGAAAACAAGGTTTATTTTGGGAACACTTATCATGGTGATTACTATATTTAAGGTTTGGGTGATTTAAAGTGACAAAAAGGTCTCTAGAGCTGTCTCACATTTCATTTTACTAGACTGTCCCTTAGAGCAATATACATGGCATAAAAATTACACATTGTAGACACCTCCTAATTTTTGTTTCAGTTTAGTCCTGAATCATTCCTTTCATGGGCCTGACAACATATGAGTAGCAATCATAACACAGATGAGGGTGTACCAATGAGTTGCCTCCTGGACATCATATGGGAAAGAGCTCTTACTGTACAATAAATGAAAGAAAATAGACGTTTTTCCAATATCATAACCAGAAAAGTTCAGCATCACTAATTGACATAGTAGCACCATTTCATATAATTCTGTTTGGTTTGCTTGCTATAAACCAAATGTAAGGCCTCGCAGCACAGAGTTGAAGACTGACAATATTGCTAAAAAAAGCCATCATAAAACAGCCTTTAATTGGAGGCAACCAGACACTCGCTTAGATTTAAAAAAAAAAGTTCAGAAAAGTAA